CTGTTTACTATAGAATTTCAGGCAAAATGTGGGGAAGGGGGAGGAGGCAGAGGACGAACACCACTACGTCCTTCCCTTTCCCTAACTGAAATATTGTACGAACCTGCAAAAAGAAGTTAGTAGTAAAAAAGTAGTAGTATTTTGTAAAGAGCGATCCACCCAGTCCTTCCCCTCTTAGTGCAAAACTAGTCAGGTGGAGGAAGTGTCGTCAATTTTCGGACCCGGTAGGCGCGCAATGCATGCAACGACGTCAGATCAGGGTCAACCATCACGTTGGACCAAGTTCGAGAATTTTACACCCCCCCCCCCTCCTATTGAAGAGTCTTGAAACTTGCTCCCAAGAGATCCCTCTTTTACTAACTTATGTGTCCAGTTTGAAGGCATTGGTTCACCTCGAGAGCATATTTGTGTACGTGAACAGTCAAATATGGATACTTTCGCAGTAGACTCTTCTGCTCTGAGGTGCGCCATGCACTCGTTTGTGGTTAATAGTTGAAGAAGCACTCGAAAGTTATACCTCTCACCTACTGTCGCGACAGCAAACGTCCTTGATTCTAATCGTTTAATGCTGTGAGCCTGAGCCTAGAGCTTTATTCGCATCTGTGTTACATTTCGTCATTCCACGCATTGCGACGTTGACTCCTGTGAATACGACCCCTCCTCTCCCGTCGGCCAAATAGACCCCCCGTTGGACTTGCTCCGACGGACGGTTAAAGGGTGCATTCATAGTCAGTCTTCCAATCGTATCGTATCAACCGCACAGCATTAGGAACCTGTCGATCGCTCGGTCGTCCGACACGTCCGCCGATCGATACGCAGCTAATGCTGTGCGATCGTTCGATCATTACGACCGGACGACTGACTATGAATGCGCCCGGACCCCAGGGTGCAAGCAACATCCGTTCCACGAGTTCCTTTCCTTCTTCACCCTCCTAGGCTTGGCCCTCTGGCCGAATGTGAGAAGATATCGTGAATCCGCAAAAAGTGAAAATTAGCGTCACAACAGCCACTGCGTGTACGAGTGCATACAGTAATGAAAAATCACTTGGGGACGCGAACTGCTGCGCACCACGACGCCGACTGTCCGCCTTCCGCCTCCCCTCACTAACATAAGGCTGCTTTCATAGTTTGCGTCGGTGCGGTCCGTACGGAGAAAGAGAAAAGCGTCAACACGCGCTCTGGCGCACGATGCGTACTTGGCGCGCAGTCGGCGCCTTCCGATCGATAACCTTGATTTCGGTGCATTTCCTTCATTTTTCGATGTTTTGTGAAGACTCCTGCGTTCATTCATACTTTTTTAGTTCAGACTTCTTCACTGTTGCCTTAATTGATATTTTCAGTCGTCCCGAATGAGTCGGCGTGGATTGACTGCGTGACTGAACGTGGCTATGAACCGCGTAATATAACAACGAAAAAACATGAATGAACGCAAGACGTCTTCACAAAACATCGAAAAATGGAGGAAATGCACCGAAACGAGGTTATCGATCGGAAGGCGCCGACTGCGCGCCAAGTACGCATCGTGCGCCAGAGCGCGTGTTGACGCTTTCCACTCTCTCCGCACAGACTGACTGGCGCGAAGTATGAAAGCAGCCTAAGTTAGCACCGTTTTTTGAGTGTGGTTCGCTAAGACAGAGAGCGACTTTCACCTTTCCGGCTAGAGGGTTTGTGGGAACCCCAGAACCGCTCCTAATCATGGCTGGACCTGGGGTTCCGTAAAGAAAAATTTCGCGCGTCAAAACCGGGAAGTCGCTTTCTGTTCCAGGAAAGCTCGCCCCCGTTTTCGCCCCATACCATCTAACTTAGGCGACATCCCCTAGTCTGGCCTGCATTTAGTACTCAGCACCGCTATGCTAACATCCTTACTAATTTAGCGCTTCAGTTTTATTTACCGTCCTTCCAACTATGGCTCACAACCTTTAATAACTGAACTTTTGAATAGCCTATTAAATATCATATTATGAAGGGTTGCTTCTTCGTATGTCTATTATCGTAAGAAGCGCTATTAATATATGCAAGTTAATCCGCTCGCCCTTTACAGAAGCACGGTGGAATGTTTTTGCGTCAGACACCAGAGAACAAAGTGTTCGACTAGACACGCAGACATCACCCACCCAGCTGATATCGATCGACCACCACCACCCATTGTGCGGTAACCAATTTGGGCCGGGCTCTGACATTTTCGTGGTTTTTATCCTTGGTTTCTCGTTTTATGAGGTTTCATGCTTAAATCGGATCGTCATTAATCAGCGATGCATGGAAGAGTGGCGGCGTATCGTATGACCATTTCTTTTTGCGCTAGAATTAAGGTTGCAACGCATGGATGCTCATTGCTTGGTGCTAAAAACAATTTTAAAGCATTTACGGGCGTTTCCTCCCTTCACTCGGAGTGGTTGGTGGGATCTCATATAGTAAGGGGGCATGTGGTGCGACAGTTCATATTGCATGAAGTAATCCACTTTTTTCAGGGGAGGGAAGCTCCGGGGTGGGTGTAAAAGTTTAAGCGAAATGGTTCACGCACCCCGGGGATTCCCTCCCCTTGCAAAAATTGGAATTTCTGTAGCCGGCAAGAACTGTCACATCACATCTTCCCCCCCCTTACTGGGGCTCCCCGAATGGTTGCGGGGACGAAAGTCCCTTTAAATTTTTTGTTTTGAACGATACTGTTTCTTTATTTTCAATGCATGCTTACTTTAAGCTACACACATATATTAAATGTAGGCCCTTTATCAGGACAATCCCAGTTGGGAAGACAGAGAAAATTTAAAGGAACTTTCGTCCCCTAACCCTTCGGGGAAGCATACCTTACGGGGATGAGACTTTAATGGTGTACTAATTGCAAATAGTAGTGTACCATTGTGCACTCTGAGTTGCTTTGCCTTTGGTTTTCTAGCGAATTCTTCCCCCCCCCCCACCGCTTTAATTGCCCTATTCGTTCGTAGGTATGTAACTTCAGGACTTAGAGTTTATTGCCAGCGAAGTGTATAATTTCTGCATCGAAGCGCTTCAATATAGCAATTTCCTGTTCGTATAGTCATGTTAATAAGTAGCGATCCTAAATTCGACGATCCGCAAAAGTTGATGATTAGCTGAATCACCGGAAACGCTCAGAGGGCGGAAAATTCGGTCGTTGTGCAGCTACAAGAACTGTAAGTTTTTCAGCGGAATCGCCGGGTTTCCATGTTGTCGTAAACAGTCCTTTGAGACGAGCTATGAATGGTGGCTAACTATTGAACGACTTTTTCAAGTGTGCACCCAAGCAACCACCCCAGTTCAAATTGGTGAGGTAAGGCTGGTGCCAGAGTCCGTGATCCGTTGCGCGTTTCGTGGATCACAGGAATCACAACTCAATAGTGCGGGTGCTCTCCAATCTCGCCGCCATTTATACTTTATAGCATTTCCTCTTCGCTAAATCGGGACTAAGCCTCGGGCAGGGGAGGAGGAACTCCAGGATCATAGCAATTTTCATCTTCCCAAAGTTCCTGCCCACTCCTAGGCTTAGTACTACAGGGCGCGGACGAGCAGAGATCGCGCGCGGCGACTGCCCCTCCCCCCTCCGAGCCACATTGCGACGGCAACTGTTCATGATTCTACTTGTTTTCATATTCAGTGTTTCTAATGTTCAAATGGGGCACTTGCGACTCGTTGCGATCGCGCGAATCGCGCGACGGATCGCGACTCTGACACCAGCCTGACAGCGATTAATAATGATGGCGTGTCTAGACGAGTTTCTTGAACCCAGCCGCTCTACTCCAAATTTGAGCTACAAGGCGGTCGCAACGAATGATGAGGAAAGTTCGGCTCGGTTCACATTGCCAATGACCAGTGGTAGTTGTATTAATTTCTAGAGTCTGTATTTGAGCAAATGGTTTTGTGAAGTGTTCTCATTTCAAAGCGTAACTGCCTTTCGTGGGATTACCTCATCTCCCCACTTTCTTATTCGTCGATCCTGGTACTACCTGTCACATTCTAGCCCCGCACAAAACTTGAAGCTCCGCAATTGGTGTCCGAGCAGGGGTGGGCAGATATATGTGACTGCTAAAACATAAACATGCCCACCCCGCCACCCTAAGAAATGCAACACCTAATGCTTGCTCATTTTTTTAAACCAGAGAGCTGCTCATAGTAATCCATTCTCGGTCTTTGGATCACCGATATCATTCTAGGGCTCATAAATGAAAAGGCAAATGGTTACATTAAAAAGGAAGAAAGGTGCACAATTGGGCAAGTTCTCCTTGGTTTTCTCCCACTGGTACTTAAATTTCAGCAAAGCCTGGCCGGTTTGGGTTGACATTCGATGGCATGTTTAGGTTTTCTCCCATTTTAATTCATCCATTTGGTTTTTGTCACCGAGAAGAATGCAGTGTTTCCCATGATCAAAGATGAGAAGGGATCATCTGTAGTCAACCACCCCCTTAAAAAATTGTTCGGAAGTATAGTGCATTTCTTCAGATCAAGATTTTTTACTCAGCAATATGCCAATCCGATAAATGTGCTGAAAAAAAAATGACGGAAGGCGGGTTTCGCCTCTACTTAATAATCTGAATCGCGCTGGGCAATCCTCTTTAGCGGTAGTGTGCATAATGCTTAGCTCTAATCCGCGAAAGCGCGTCACAGGAATGGCGTTGAGTGCAGCAGTCTCGTTTAGTTTCTGAATTCATTTTCTATTAGAGCAGATGCTATTATGCTAATTATAAATAACTAATGAACCGTAGCCAAGCTCTCGACTAATCTCGTGCTCGATTACTTTCATAGCCCTTTCAGCTGTAGGGAGTCTTATTTACAGCATGAAGCAGATTTCAAATAATCTGCCTGTAGTGTGTTGGCTCACAATATAGTAAAATAGCATAGCATTTGATGGAATTGTATTCTGAATGCTTTCTACACCTTTTTTTAAAGTTCGTACTGTATTCTATGGTACTTATTCATGTTGCTTAGTTTTGATTTAGCAAAATTTGCAAGTGATTTTCAGGAATTCTTGCTGATATGCTCATAGACTAATGCGTGGACATAATCTGATACTATTTAATCTACTATTCTGTCTATTCGAGACTGTATCATGCTTTCATATGAAAGCTTCACAAATTAGAATTTCTGAAGCCTCTAAGGCTGCCTATGAGAAATATTTACGTAAGTTTATAATTTAGAATTCCAGATTTACGCTAAAGCTTTCCTCAAGTTCAAATTATTCTGAACTTTTGCTCTGTGCGGAGCAAAATATGTGCGATAAAGGACAAGAAGCATGGTAGTTTGTAGTAACCCTCAATCTCATTACCGCGATGTTCACTGATTATCTTGGTCCCCAAATATTTTGTATCCAGGGTACTAGCATATTAAGAGCAGGAAATGATTGCTTAAGCACCTGTCTATTTGGCACCATCCGGATCTTTGGCTTAATATGTGGGAATGATACAAGTTCTAGTAAGAAGTGTTATATGAGTAGGTTGCCTAAAGAGTTGTGAACCTCTAATGAACAAACGCGGTGTCGAATGAGAGTGTTCTTCGATATATTCGATGGGTAATTTTAGCTGTATCTCCCACAATTTGATAAGTCTGTTATCGATTTTGAGAAACTTTTATTTCAGATGACACATGTCAGGATAAGAAGCAAAATGAGTACTCCGTCGAAGATTACTTGGAATGGGAACAGAGTGAATTTTTGCGGAGTTTGCGGATAGCGTTAGTGGAATTATTCTTTTTGGCATTATTCTTTCTTCTTCATACTTTTCATGTTATTTCCTCTTTTCAAATTAGTTTTCAAGTACTGAAGGTTTAGAATAGAGTGTCAAGCATTCAGCATTGAAAAGTCCCGTTTCGAGGTGTGATACAGATTCTGTTTTCATTCAGAATCGTAGCGGCATTTTGATTTGGTCGTGCCAAGTGCCAAAATGCAATCGCGATAGTAAATGCAGAGTCTGACATCCAACTGAATTTGATTTGGCCTGTGCAGTGTTTGCAGAGCCAGCCGTTCTTGAATCTGTGTTTTCATCTTCCTAGACAAATCTGGTAACAATAACCGATTCGGGAGGGATAGTGGCAAGTGACGTTATCATGCGCATGGATTGGGAATGAAATCCGACTCAAGTTGCTTCAAGAATTTCTATCCCTTCGGATCGGACAATCGAGGAAAGTTTATGAAAAAAAAAACTCGAGCGCAAATCGAATAGCTCCCACAAGTCCTCACAAAGATCAGTTAGCTTTCACACTTCTCGACATTTTCGATGACAGCAGACTGCGTGATGCATCAACAGAAGGATTTTAGCGCCAATGCTTCATTCATTAATTGAAATATCCTTGGCTCGTCAATCCTCACCATCGGTGCATGCATTCGGAAAAATTAGCAGTGAGGAATTGATCATGTATGGTGGTTAAGTTGTACGGAAAAGACTTTCCTTCTAAAGTGGTTTTCTCGATTCCATTAGCCGTTTTCTTCTTGTCACTGTTTCAATCGTTTTTCGATTCTTAGTTTTTTTTTATATTGTGGAAATGAGTTATTTCTTTTCAAGGCTGCTTCCGGAGACGATAGACGGCGACTTCAGATCCGCACTGCAAAGCGGAATAACGACAATTGTGCCAAATTTGTTTACTATACCGTCACATCCCACTAGTCACTGCCGTCGGCGTAATGAAACGACGGACTTTGAAGAGCGAGTGCATGTGTACACAACCTTCGAGGATTTGCTAATAGATTTGTAAGTCGGATTTTTTAACGGACTTTATTAGAAGCTCGATTAGACGAAGGTTGAGAGGTGAGATCAATGGCGCATTTCATATTCCACTTTTTGGTGGTGATATTCAAGGTGACTCGGAATCCATTTCAGAGTGCTCACCGCAAAAATCGCAGAAGGCGCTCTTGGTCCTCCATAGCAAATTCTAGCTGGAGAGGCAGCGAATGTGAACTTCATACGATGAATGCGATGTCTTCAATTTAATTTATTGCATTTTCAGATTTTCATTTCCTCAACACATTTTTTCCTCACTATTTTCATAGCACCTTCCTCGGGTATTTGGTTATTCTCTTTTTTTCAGCCAGTGGTTAATGTACAAGAGAAAAACCGGAGTCTTATCCCAGCTCTACAGCCTTAACGGCAGCCACATTTTCTACTGAAATTGCTGCTGGGTAGGCTGCTGCCCATCACTATTTAGTGGGCTGTCCTGGGCTTGAATATAAGCTCGGTGTATGAGTGGAAATAATCATTATCACAGTGGGCTTGGGGGCGGGAGGGAGCACTCTATAAAAAGGCCTGGCGGGGGGGGGGGATAAAAAGATTTGAGGCGCTAGGATTAAGCCTGGAGAGAATACGGAAATTGTTTCCACCTCCCCCCCCTTTTTTTTTCGAGGCACATGGCGCCTGAATGAAAAAAAATAATGCCAATTTATTTTTGCACGACTCATACAAATGCGTTCCTTGTATGAATTTGTGTTGTAGTCAGTTTACATTCCTTTCGTGAAAATGGAGCTCACACGTGTGCGGTCATATTAACGGGGTGTGGCAGTTCAGACATACTATGTCTGGTGGCATTCATGCGCATTCCAGATGCTCTTTTCTGACAACCCCACTTAGGGATGTTGAGTCAGCAGCTGTGTCTGGCAGTTGTGAGTTCAGATCCGGTTGGTTCCGCTTTTCGGTTTTTCTCTTCGGGTAATATCTGTATCTATCTGTACACAGTTTTCGTGGCAGTTTCTCATCCAATTTGCCTTTTATTTATTTGCTTGTGCTTTGTAGCAGTAGAGTTTATCTATGTTCAGCGTTCAGAGGATCCAAAAAGTAGCACAAAAAGGACACCTTGGATATGGCTATAGGTGAAAAGATGCTTTCCCTTTTTTTAATTTTATTTGAATTGAAGTTCATGTAAACGCTGAATGTGGTCGTGGTCTGGTAAATTGTGTATGTTTCGCTAGTCAGATTTGAAATCAAAATGTTCTTATTCCTCCAAAGTTCATTTTCTCGCTAGTGTGTAGTCTTTAACACCTGAATAATGACGGGAGTTTTAGTTGTAGTGCCTGAATACGCGATGCCAATTCATTTAATGTCATTTTCTGGGTTTTATAGGTTTCCTAGCCTTGTTATAAATGCAAAGTGCTACGAATTCATTTGTCACATTCGCTTGTGTTCACATTTGTCTGCAGATGATATTGAAACTATTTGTTTGTGAATTTGTGAAAGATTGCAGCTCAAAATAAAGAGAATTGAATAGCTTCGCTCCATGGAACTTCAGTGGCGTTTTTTCTCCAAGCTCCATGCTTATACTTCAGTATAGGGAAAGAGAATATGGGACCAGCGTTCTCCCAATTGGCCTTGTCTAAGTAAAGGATCTGGTTAGAGTGTAGGGCATGGTGTTAGTTTTGTGTGTGGACATGTTGCGTCAGTATCTGATTTACAATAGTTTCTATTGACCAGGTTGGAACTGTGATCATGATTTTGACCGAAAATCGCTGTTTGGTTAGGAGCTAGTGCATGGTTTCAAGTTTGACTTTTTATACTGGCCGATTTTTTTGTGGTATGTGAAATGGTTACTGAAAAGTGATCAGTAAACTCCTACTAGGTCACCCTCATACTCCTATGTTTAAATTCTTTTGAGGGTTTTTGGAACTACATAGTGTATCCTAAAAAAATGAAGTCTGACGTCCCTTGGTCTGTTATGCTTAAATCAAAACCGGCGCATTTAGTTCTCTCTGATCTTGACCTACATTCCTTCTACCATATGAACCATCACGTGAGCAGCGGTAGGATTGGTATTGAGGCCTGTTACAGTTTTTTTAACCGATTCGCACCACACTACTATCAGGTGAAGTCTACTGTAGTGATCGGTTCAACGGAAATTGGGCCCTCTTAGATATGTGGTTAGGCGATGTTGTGATGAATTGGATGACCAAGAATCCTCTCTCAGAAGGCAAGTATGTGTGAATACTGTAAGAGAAGTATAGGCCCATAAGGGACGAAGACGTGGTGTTTGTGTGGCAAAAGTCGCGTTCGTAGCGTCCAAGCAAGAGATTTACCCTTGGGTACCACTATAAAGAGCTTCCCCTACCTTTATCCTACTTCTCATCCCTCTCCCCAATGGCTCAGCTCGGTGATAAAAACGTGCTGAAAGGTGATATTGTTATCATCATCGTTCGCTTTTGGTACCTTGTCTGTCTTGCCTGTCTTTGAGCCTGCTTTCAGACAACGAGATCTTGTACTTCCTACTTGTAACTTTAAGGCCAACACTTTCAATATTCTGCATCAGTGATGACGACTTTCACACCTTTTGTCTGATTCACTAAAAGAAGCAGGGCTTTCCGAAATAGATTCCGCGTATTTGAACAGTGGGCAGACATCAATGCTACTACTCAGCCACTATTGTGCTAATGGAGTGAAAAAAGGAAGTATCAGAAATCGGATTTCTGAAAAATAAAGGACGTAGCATTTTCATCAGCATTTGGACATTAACGAGCACTGCAAAATTGCTCGAATGTGATAAGGCAAGAATAGGCAATGGATTTACTTCTTACGAAAAGTGTAAAAGCCTACTGGGTGTCTTCAGTTCTGCTCCTCAGGTTAGGTCACCTGCAATTAAGCAGCCACCACTTATTTACTCGTTGCAGGCCTAAGACTAAGCCTATACCCAATCATAGGCAAGGCATGAGCACAAACCAGTGGTAAGCATGAGCTCAAGCCTAAACTCAAGCATAACCTTAGGCTTCAATGATCGCGCAGGTCTGGCGACCTAACCTAGGAGGAGAACTGAGCGTCTCCCAAACCCAATATTAGTGTGTTTCATTTCGTTTCACCCAAAAGGGATGGAAAACCAACAGAAGATTCATCGCTTAGCTAGGATTCGGCATGCCGGCTGGTTACAAGGTTTTGGGAAAATAATAGCAGACCGCGGTCATACTTTGCGACTTCTCTGCGATTCTTTGGAGTTCGAATATGGCGTACGATCGCATAATCGATATGTATCTACTCCACACTCGAACTACAAAAGGAGCAAGATGGTCGGAAATTCTGATCGTGGTCTGAAAGCTCTATAGCAGTTATGGTAGTCTACTGTGGGTTTTTCAGAAGGCTATCACAGCTTCCCTGCAATTTCTCCAGTGTAGTCACTCGGCATCGTCTGCTTTCACCAGCATCTGGTATTGCGGGCAGTTTATGATGAAGATTCCAAACAGCGAGCTACGCTACGAATATACAACCAGAGATCATCATTTAATAGTTTATCGAGGTAAAACAATAATGTAAACCCAATTGCTTATACGATCCGCCAGTAAACAATCCCGTGTAGGAAACACGAATGCTAGAGATACGATGGGAATAAGGCATTGCAAAAGAAAAACCTGACTACCATTCTAATAGCCAAATACACACACAACATCAGCACCTAACTAGTGAAATAGTCAGGATGGTATGTTGATCTATTCACTGACTGGGGCTTTCTCGGTTTCGAAGGGAGCAGCAAGTGATAGTTCACCTGAGTCCGCGATGACTACATCCTCCTTTGGACGATCTCCAGGCTGTAAAACGATGCCTAGTTGCTCAGTCAACATCCACGTACTTTACTTGTGTGTCAAATTATATACTCACGTTTGTCTGGGAGTTTTCAATTTTGCGAACAACGCTCATGCCTTCGAGGACCTTTCCGAAGACGACGTGACGTCCGTCCAACCAAGGGGTCTTGACCTAAAAACAGAATTCTTTCAAAACCTTCATTACCCACAGCGCTCCTAGTTCGATTTTGAAGGGCGCTTTTCCAATTTTCTCGTTGAACCTACAGTGCAGATGAAGAACTGAGATCCATTGGTGTCTGGGCCAGCGTTTGCCATCGAGAGCCATCCAGCACCATAGTGTTGCAGGTCGAAGTTCTCATCCTTGAAACGATCACCGTAGATCGACTTGCCTCCGGTACCATCACCACGAGTGAAGTCTCCTCCTGTAGTATAGGATGAAGAAACTTATTTGACAATGTGAGAAATGAGTTCGTTTCAAATGGATAGGATCGTGGCAACCTTGAATCATGAAGTCCTTGATGACACGGTGGAATTTGCTGCCCTTGTAACCGAATCCCTTGGCTCCAGTGGCAAGTTGAAGGAAGTTTTCGGCGGTTTTTGGCACTACATTTCCGAACAGTCCGATGACAATACGACCAGCCTAAATCAGCCACCGCTGAATTCCGAAAGAGAAACTTTTAAGCGTAGCCTATTTAACAAAGCTACTCTTATACATATGAGACAGTACCTTACAGAAGCAAAAACTCAAGCCCATTAGTTTTAAGCTGTTATGATAAAGGGCCCAAAGTTAAGAAAGTTTATCAATAGTGTGCACTCCTTTCTAAAGCGAACCGCTCAATTCGCAGTCTGACACCGGCCTTAACTTGCAGCTAATTTGAGCAGCGGTCATATCTTGCAGTTCCGTTGCAGTTCACGAGCACTCCTAATGTGGGTTAAATATGTATCAGCCTTGAGAGTTGTGATTGCATGGCAAGATCGCACGACCGATACACTTATAACCTACTCTCAAAACGTGAGTGAACTGCAAGGCATTCGCAAAGTATGTATAACCGTAGCTTCACACCGCTAGAGATTGGATGTTGTATATTTTACCGGTTGAACTTCAGAAAATATTGAAGACTCTTACCGGCTTGCCTCCAATGGTGATATCGAAGTACACCTGTTTCGTGACCGTTACTGTATCAGCAGCATGAGACAACTAAAAAAATACTAATAAAAAAATTAGGTAGGCAGAGGTCATCTGAACACTTACCGAAACGAAGCCGACCAGGCCGAGAACCGCCAGAGCCAACATACCCACTGAAAGAATAGCAAATAAATGAACGAAACAAGAACCCCTATAGGAGCACGAACACAACAATCAGATTGCATATTATCGCAGAAAGCCAGCCACGCCCCTTCTCTCGGGGTCAACTGCGCGACCTAATGATAAGATACGTGAAGCAAATAACAGTTCTACTATTGTAAGAAAGGCTCCCTGGGAGACTAGCAATAGGAGACCGAACGCGAACATGATTAATCGCATCTCGTGGTCTGCATCGATTTAGAGAAGAGAAATGGGCAGCAAACTGTTCTCAAACTTCATGAACAAAAAAGTGGCCAAAAAGGCTGAAAATCGGATAAGTTTAGAAGCACAGATGACATCGGTTAGAACGGGATAAAAGACTGCACAAAGAGAGGCCTGGGTGTGGTTTGCTAGAACAGAAAGCGACTTTCGCATTTCACAGGGCGCACGCATAGTCGGTCGTCCGACAGCAACGATCGCAACTGTCTGACTGTCTAACTGCATCTAATCGTCGAATACTCAGGCAAGTCCGACGATCGATACGCATCCAATGCTGTGCGACAGTTACGATCGTTGCTGTCGTCCGACCGACTATGCGTGCGCCCACAGCGCGAAGCATTTTCGCTGTGGGAACCTTAGGTCCACCGCTGATCATCAGTGGACCCGAGGTTCCCGCAGCGTATCATCAGTGGACCCTAGCGAACAATGTTTCGCGCTGCGAAATGCGAAAAAGTCGCTTTCTGTCCTAGTGAACCACACCCGAGAGGCCTACATTATTAAATTAAAAATATGGCTTCCGGGAGAGGGGGGAGGGGAGTATTGGTACACTGACGTTGGACGGACTTTTATTGAAGACAAGCAATGATCTATTACTCAGCTTATACGGGCTCCATGTGGCTCGGGGTGGGGGGAGACAGTCGCCGCCGCTGCGCATGGCATGTTCGCGACATGTGGGAACCCAAACATCCCAACTTTTCATGAATGTCAAGAGACTGTCTCACCCTCACCCCCTAGACAGGCTGCACTCCACCTAGCTCACGGATTCTCCGCTCAACACTGTGGTATGAGAACAAGCAACGCGAAGCGCGCGGCGACCGGCCCTCGCATCCACATTGCGTCCATACGTCTTCTGGAGCTAACGTTCTCACGATGTACGGCTGCTGTTTCACGATCACATGATCGGTGGAAAGATGTTGCATCTAATATCGCAAATGTAGATGCTTTATCAATAGGAAGTTGTACTCTTAGAATGCAAGTGAATGGCAACAAGACGCAGTCCCACAGTCGCAATATTATCATGGAGTACAAAATGAGTAGTCGTTCCCACGTATGCCGTCTTATCTTGGAATATGAAATTAACTGTAATATTTTCTGTGAAGGAACAGTTCCTCTTTAGAATTAGCCATTTCGATGAAAGTTACAGAAAGGAAGGCAGCCCGTAATATTGCGGCAGGTATATCTAAGCGTTAGGTTTTGAAGTCTAGAGGAGGAGAGGGGGCTCTATACAGGTTGGGTGGGTAAGCCCACACGCATGTTAAGTGACTGCCCTCTACCCCCCCCCCCCCTAGATTGGCTACACCTTCCCCCTGGCTCACAAAATTCCTCGATTCTCGTGACAGTACAATAGCGGCAGCAGTCCCACTTACATACATTTCTGTTCACAAAATGCGGCGTGCCCACCCTACTTGATAGCACCGAAGAGGGAATCCAAAGTGCGTAAGCAGTCCTATTTCTCTCCAGGATTCGCCCCTGTTCGGTTGAGCGCTCAAGTGCCTATTCCTACAGAGTGCCCCCCCCCAAAAAGCACATTCAGCCGAATTCTCTTCTAAGTCATATCCTCACTGAGTTAGCGTATTATCATTCTCATTGTTTTCCTGACTCATAAATCCCAGGGCTACGGTCAAAAGATCTAGGTTATTGACAAAGATGGGAGTGAGAGAGCTCATAATTGGCATTCTGAAGGACAAAATGTCATACTGGCTACCATTTCTTTTTGGTACGTGGCTCTCGAACGAACATAGGTGGGGATGTAGTAAACGAAGTTAGAAACGTGAGGTCGAAAACCTCAGTTCCTACATAATCAACTCTGGACTCACTCAGGGGTCAAGGTCAGAGAGAACGCTAACAATATCTTCCGATACACAACAAAAAAAGGCAGAGGAAGCTTGACACTGATTCATACGAGTGCTGAAGGTCCTAAGAAGAAAATCAGAACGGTTGCTAAGGAAACCGAAAGGAGAATAAGCGCAGAGCTTATGCTGCCATAATAAAATTCAACCTAACCACCACACTGCATGTTGTTGACGGGATCAGTCCTTCGAGGAAATTAGTAGACAAACTGGGATGTTAGCAAGACAGGCCTTGATCCAAACTGCAACGTCACGGCAGCAAACTGCAATGACTGTAACACTGGGCGAGCTGCAAATGCCCCGCCCACGATGCTTTGTGTGGATCAATTTGGACTAATTAAATCTAAGCAATCTGAGACCAATGGTATGTTTTAGAAAAGGAAAAATGAGAATGACACAAAGAAGAAGGCTAACCAATAGATAAAAATCGACCCACAATAGAATCTGCCGCGACCGCTCCGCGCGAACCGCCACGTCGCCATAAATGCCACGGTGGCGTCGCACGCGCGACGTCGCGGTGCGCGGTGCCAGAGCGGACCAAGGTCGACCGGGGCAAATTACACAGAACGGGATGAAGTCGGACATCGTAAGGTGAACGCCCAATATAAGGATGAAGAACGGATCAGTGAGGAATGAAAGTAGAGGCGAAATCGCTCCGGGATTGGTCAGTTCCTTTAGGGTACGCCATGCCTTTGCAATGCACAATTAGTTGCGGAGATGAATGTGCATGCGCCCTAAACATTTACAGGGGACGCTTGGTGCCCAGTGTAACACAAGTCGATCTATATTAGCGGTATATTGTATTACTTATGGGTAGTTGAAACCAACCACGATCCATTAACCGAACCCAAGAGGGCGGGCGGGGCTTTGCCATTACATCGTCGCTATAGAAGGGATTTGGGACGGGGCTATGAAAGACGAGGCCCCCCTTCGAAAATCCTGTCAGGGAAATTAGCCGAAGTTTTTGATGTGATGGAATCCTTTCAATACAACAAAGTAGTATTATGATAGGGTAGACCAGGGTGAGCTATGCGTAGAGAAAATCTCGGACAGTATCCTATCCTCCACTAAGAGGTCGAGCCCCCCCCCCCTCCCCCCGCACACCGATGCTATCCTAATTCGGAGGGAGACACGGTTGCGTCATAGAGGCCGTCCTTAAACGGAGCACTGTAGCGATACTCCACTGTTCGAGCAGCATTCTCTGTGGGGTCATGCTGTTCTAACTGTCGGTGAGGTAGAAACGCAGAGGTATGACAGGTCCTATGGTGCAGCACTGTCTTCCTAAGCGTTAAAATAGCACCGGAGTAGGGCAGGGTGAACGGTCGAAGAAGTCCTTGACCATGGCTCTGTACTGTGTGAGAGTGGTGCCGAGTGTGAATGTCCGCGCGGGAGAACGTAACTGATCAGGCGAAAATCCTCGACGTGCCGTTGAGAAATCCTCGACCGATATTCACCCTGGACATGTTCCCTTCGGAAAGGACAACATGCGGCCCCTACCCAATACTTTCCCCCTCCCTTCCTTCCCAGTATCAAGACGACTCCTCTCCCAAACTATCCGATGTTGGTGTCGTTGATCCTGGGAATTTTCGAGAATGTGGTCTGGCGAGCCTCCTTTCACTGTGAAACTTGGTAGTGGATACAATATGTCATTAGTTTGAGCTTCATTAGCTCACTCGGTCTGGAATACGCCATGCTTTCGACCTGCTATTGGCGTCATCAGTCGCGATATTTGGAGGAGGATTTGTTTGTACAGCGGCCTGCAGACCAGTCCATAACTAGTATAATATTTGTTCTTAGTCCGCTGACCAACCAGCAATGGAGCGAATAGTGGCCTAGTGGAGCTGCCTGGAGCTTAATCTTAAGAGTTGAGAAGCGAACTCCCAGTGCCCCGTGACTGTTTGGAAGTAAAGAAGAAGCAGTAATGAAGAGCATTTCAAAAAGTGAATGGGATCAGATTCGCAAAGAGGTCCACTCCTCTCTATTTAATAGAGCAGCGATGTTGCCCTGTATTTGCTTCAACATTTATGATGGCAGAGGGATCAATTGAGGGATACTGGGACCGCCAGGGTAGTAGGCCGAAATGTCTGATGCAGAGAAATTACGTCGTCAAAAACGCATAAGGGTCTGATGAAACAAACAGACTTCAAAAAAGTGTTTGTCACTCATATCAAAAATCAAAACCAGATCAGCATTGAGATCAGCCCCCTACTGCGTTTACATGAGTCGTCAGATGACGAGATCGATGGCATGGCGCAGATGTAACCTGCGTTTGCGCAGTTTTCCACGTCCACAGCTTGTGCAAGTTTACGCCGAATTAGCACTTGTCTAGTTAACGTGAGCGGCACATTCACACACTCGACATAGGTCGTAGCGTCTGTGTCTCGACCCCATTTGACAGCGTGCCGGTTGAGGGATCTCTCGACGTGCCGTTTTGCGAATCTGCGCAACGCTGGTTGATGTACATGCGCGGGAGTGGCATACAACAGACGGTCCAGAATGGCTCCTGACTGTAGCTGCTTTGGTCAGAGGGCCAAAGCTGGTCTGGACTATAACTTACCTTCATTTCCAGAATTCACCATCCAGGAAAACCACGCACGCTTCAGGAAGGGGATCTCTAGGCAACAATTGCTCGAAAGCTATAAACTCGAAAATAACTCTGCTGTATTTCCGCTGTATGACTAACGATAAGCGCTCTGTCCTGCTAAAAAGTCAAAGGAGATAGTGGTATTCCTATCCACGACAAAGTGTGGGACGATTTAGGAGCCNGGACAGGNTTTNNNACCNNNNTCTTCATTCGACGGGTGCGAAAGTCATAAACACGAAAACGAGCTTCTGCACTTGATAATTGTTCTGGTAAAGATGGCCATCGGAAGGCTTCGC